CGAGGCGCCCGCCGGGATGTGTGCGGCCGGCAGGTACCTGTGCCCCAGCAGAGCCCGGCCTGGCTCGAGCGAGTTTTCCAAAGCCTGTTATCCCTCGCACATGCTTGCTTTTGCTTCCAAAACATTTAGGAGCACCTTAAGGTGCTTCTGTGCCTTCTGTGTGTCTTTGCAGTTGCGCACTCTAAGGGGGAGTATTTTCTCATGCAGCATTTAATATCACCTCAGCCCATCGTCTCTGAGCTTTAAGGCATTGCTGCAAGTTGGGCTTGCTGATGCTGAGAAAATCTTTTACTTGTCAGCTTGGAGGCCAGCTGATATCATTTCTATTACAATGGTGAAGTCTCTGATAAAGAACACCTGGATAAGTGTGGCTTCTGTCAGTCAAGGGAAGTCCTGCCTCACTAACCTGCTGGAGTTTGGAGGAAGGGTGTTATGTGAATAAAGGGGTTTCTGTGCATGTAGTAATCCACTTGGGCTTTCAAAAAGCCTTTGACAAGCTTTCTGTAAAGCTTATTAAACTTTGTAAAGGAACTAAGTTGCCACAGGATTGAGCAAGAGGTTGGTTTTTGAACTGAAAGCTCGATCGAGACTAGAAAGTGAAGGATAGGGCTTAATAGTTACACTTCAGAAAGGAGGCAGTTCACAGAATAGTTCGGTTTGGAAGAGACCCCTGGAAGTCATGTAGTCCCCCCTGCTCAAACCTGGCCTAGTTAGATCCAATTGCTTAGGGACTTGTCCGACCGCATATCAAGAATCAAGGGATTCCATGATCATACTGCAGCAGGCCTGGGATTTGTCCTGGTTGTGTTTGATGTCTTGGTTAGTAGCCTGAGGAAGGTGGTGAACAATGAAAACTCCCAAGTCTGCAGGTGACACCAACTAATCAGATGCTGAGAAAATCCGTAAGGACCTCATGGTACTGAAAGAGTGATAAATGATCTTTAGATAACTGTGTTATAAAAAGATCAAGGGCATGGAGCAGCTGCTTTACTAAGGGAACCTACAAGCCACAGGGCTCTTCCCTTTTGGGAGCCAAAGGCTGTGAGGGTGATGACTGGGGTTGACAAAACTATAAAAGTGGTAGATGATGTAAAGGTGGAGCTGTTACTCATCAGGTGTTGCAGTCCTCAGTTGAGAAGCCACTTGATGAAACTCACAGGAGACGGTTTATAACAAGCTATTGTTTTCGTCCAGCGAGTGGTAAACTTGCTGACCTCCCTTCCCTAGAAGGTCCTGGGGGCAGGCAATACCAGCGTGGCGGGAAAGGGATTAGACAAATTTATGGGCAACAGGTCTGTAAACAAGTATTTGGGGGGCTATGCAGGGCTGCACCCGCCAGCTTCCTCATGGATGCTGGAAGAATGCAACAGGAACGGACTTCAGACATGAGCCCAGCTCTCAGTGCTTCCCTAAGCAGGGAAGTGTAGTGCTGTTGGATGCAGCATCGAATCAGACAGAACAATAGCTTGGCTCAACAGGGCGTTTTGTATGTCCTGTGCTTTTATCCCGTTCAAATGTAACTACACAAATGGCTGAGCTGGCACACTGAGGCTGTGCTTATCACTGTTGCTATTAAGGCTGCATCTGTGTGCTCAGAATTACCTGGAACGAGCAAACTGTGGTACGTGACTGTGCTTTATGTGCAGTCAGCTGGCACGCCCGTTACAAAGTTAAGCCACCAATATTTTTAAATGACTTTGAATCAACAGAATGAGTTCGTGCTGGTCAATACATTGCATCATTTGTGATTATGGTTTTGACTCAGTATTGTCAGATCAGAATTTACTGAAGTGTTGCACTGCAAGCCCGAGGGTTGGAGGGACTGTAAGCCCTGTTGGGGAGCGGTTGTGCAAGCTCTTGAACTGTGGCTCTCTTGAATCCCTGCCACTGAAGTGGCAGAACTGTGCTTTCAAGTCTGATTAACCCTACAAAGTTTCCTTGGCGTTGCTATACGGAAGAATATTAGTAACCCCTAAGAGTATGCCATCACTTATTCCCCAGGTGTTTTTGTTGGCTTGAATTTGACAGATAAGAATGCCAGAAAAACTCCTTTTGTTGATTTATACTTTATCTCTGCTAGACATCTTGGCTGTTAAAACATAAAGCAACAATATCTGTAGTACAGACAAGCACCAGTAAAATCAAGCCAACCAAGAAAGGTTATATTTTGTATTATTAGAAGAAAACAAATCTATTCACCAATAAAATTACTGTTATTTGAAGTGATCTTCTGACTTCTTTTAAAAAACGATTTTAGAAGTAACCTGTCCTAGAAAATATGCTTAATTTCTTGTCTACGCAGTGCTGCTGTTAAAGTCAATGGAAGCTCCATGAGCCAACAGGATTAGAATTGACACAGAATCAACATACAGCATCAGTGAATGGGTAGGACTGCTGACAACTTTGAATTCAAAAGCATCAAGTCACCTTGCATTTGTGAAAATAAGGGTTAGTCAGTCATTTTTGAATCAGTGCAAGTAAGAGTACAGCTTCCATAATGAGGAAACCCTTTTCACTGAGTTGGCTGCAGTTCTGTCCTTGCCATAGAAAATGTCACTACCCTTTTGTCAGCAAAGACTAGATATTTCTTTTCATTGTTTTGTCTGAGATAGTCAGTGGAAATCTTCATGAGAAATCATTTGAAACAATGTAGCAATGTTCTGTATTAAAATGCTTGAGATCAAATATGTCATTGTTTTCCGAATCCTGTCAGAGACTGTCTCTGTTTTCTGTAATTTTGTCTTTGTATGTCAGCAGCAGTGGTAAATGGCTGCTGGATGAAGCATTTGCTGATCCTAGGATACTCAGCTCCAGATTGCAAAATAGCAGTTTTTTATAATTCCGTTCTTTTAGTTAAACACTCTTTTATTGCTTTCACTTGCAGTGCCCACATAACTGCATCTGAGGCAGAGGTGCCAAGGAGCTTTTCGGTTCATGATGTTTATTGCAATTGAGTAGTTAACTTTTTTTTTTTTTTTTGAAATGCATTATATAACCATTCAGCAATGCAGAGGCAAAAATGGGACTATGGACCTACTTACGTGAGTAAGTAAGAACAGGCAGTATTTTCATCCTATTTTCATTATTTTATGCTTTCCGGTTGTTAAATCATTACTAACATAGTACAGTATATTTTAATATGGAAGTTTTAAGGGATATGTATCAGGTGAGCTGAGTCCCATGCCTTCTGTCTAGAGAATACACTGCCTGCAGAATTAATGCTCCTGGCAATTCTCATTAGCTCCCCAGATGGTTCAAGGACAGACAGAGAGGAAAATAAGTGTCCTCTGTGGCTCTCCAGCTATACCCAGGCCTTCTCGCTTTTTGGGCAGTGCTAGGTCTGGAACAGTTGGCTCTGCCATTTGGGATTTGGATCAGTTGAGTCACTTTCCCTAGGTCTACCGTATTTACCAGTGCAGTTTCCTTCCCAGTAATGCAGCTGAATGCATGTGTGTATGTCTGTCCATCTATTTATCTGTCTATCTCAGCTGGGCTCAGAGCTGAACGTGGTGGCACTGCTTAGCACACTAATAAATCAGACTTGTTTCAAATTTTAAAAGAAAACTTTAAAAGAAAATTAGGCTGGCATTGAGTAACAGTGCACCCTTTGCTAATAGTTCTTGCACATTATTCACCATTATTGCTAGTACTATGTTTCAGTTCTTGCATATTATCAATCATTATTATTGCAAAGTAGTCGGCCACATGTGTTTATATCCTAAATTAGCTACGAGTATGAAACACCACAGAGCTAATGATGTAAAGTTAGGACAACAGGAGCTGGTGCTGAAGTAGGCGACATCTTTGTCCACATGCAGTCCTTTCCCAAGTTAGGATTTTATCTGTTAATAACTGTTCTGTTGCTTGTCTTATCAAGACCTGTGTTAAGTGAGTTCATGTAACTTAGAACCTTTACCTGTGGGATTAAGAGCAGAATGTATTCACATAGTAGGGAGTGTTCTATTAACACATAATACACCCAGAGTATTTTGACTCTATTTTAAATTCTGATGTATGTAGTGATTGCTGATAGAGAACGAATTTGGTCACATATAAAATTGTGTTTATTTTATTGTATTTAAAAATTGTTCCTTTCAAAGCAGTGTTTCAAAAAGCAGTGTAGCACTGAAAAAACCCCAACATAGATATTCAATAATGTATTGACCTAATATTGTAAAATATTGCAAATTTAGCTATTATTAAACTGAGCACAGATTGCATTACTTTAAGAGGATTCATTACGTCCTGTTGTTCCCCTCTTTAACTGAGCCTGTTCTTTACTGCCTTCCCCTCACTTGGTATGGCTGGGCACACTGCTAATGCAGATTAGCTGGCCGCGGTTTCCTGTGTTTATGGGATGGGTATGTTTTTTTGCCCTGCAGCAGCAGTAGCGCAGCACGTACATGCCTTGGGTGCAGCAAGATACTGCTCTGCTCAAGTGCCCTGTCTCCTGCTGCTGCCCTGGCTGCTGATGCTGGCTCTGCGGAGCCGCCGAATCTCCCTCCCCGTGGCGTGTGGTCCTCTTGAGTGCAGTCGCTGACGTCAGGGCGCTGTGGCCCTGCCTGCGCTCCGGCTGCTCCCTTTCCTTGCTCAGTTCACCTCCAGTAGCCGCAGGTCAGCGCGGCAGCCACTGACAGCTGCGCTCTGCCGCTGTCACACGCTGCCCCGTTTTCTTGACTTGCGGGGTCTGAAGCGCTCAGCAAGAAATAAGAGCGCGTTGTGAGCGTGAGAGGAGGATATGCGGCAGGAATTCTGGAGGTTACCCCAGTAAGACTGAGCATGGAAACAGAGAAATACAGAGCCAAGCAAGCTGGGGATTTATAATGCAGGCAGCATTTCCAGGTTTCTTTTCCACTTTGCTCTCATCCTGCTATTGGATTTGAGATCATGTATGTGTTTTGCTGTTGATTACTGGGGGTATTAAAATCTAATGAAAGAAGAGGATTCAGAAGGATTAATATGTTTTGATTCAGAGAGTTTTTTTTTTCTTAACCCTTTTGTTGATCTTCATTAACACAGCTATATCTTCGTTACTCTCATTTTAGGTCTGTTAATATTGTAGCCTTTGGAAATGAAAGAGATGGATTTTCTGAAGACAATCAGCAGTCAAGCCTGATCTGGAGCTATCTAGGGAGAAGCGCTCTCATTTCAGAGACAGAAAGCAGTGTGGTGCTGAATTCTGCCAATCACACTAGAAACCCGGTGTTTACTGAATATCAAGCCCGAGTGTTTGGAAATGTCCGATTGGTGGTACATGACTGTCCTCTTTGGGTAAGAGATTGGTCTGAAACTTATTAACTAAACTTGACAGTACAGGCTGTTTTAATCAAATGAAGTGTTTTTATTTTTATGGGATTTAGTCATATTTTGCTTATCAAAAATACTAAAAGCATGTAAAATGTAACTAAGGCAAATACCAAAAATTCTCTGTGGAGAATGATGAAATGTTGCTCATTAACAAGCCAATATGTTTCATATGCTTGATGGTGATATTTATTCTTTAGTGAAAATTTTACTGCAAATAATGCAGCAGTAAACAGGAACCTCTTTGGGAAGCTGAAATATAAGCAGTGTCTCCAACTATTTATCTGCAACAATAAAAAAAAATGCATTTTTTTCAAAAATGAAAAAAACTTTGAGATATGACAATCTATTAATCTATTGTAGAGTACACTATATGTAGTCATTTTATTTTCTGTTATAATAAGTAATCACATCTTTACTTACCGTCTTCTATGGGAAATAGTGTTAAAAGGATTTTGGCAGTGTTCCCATGTTGTCAGCACTCTTGTTGATAGTAAGTGAGGCGGCTCAAGTATGAGCAGAACAGTGTTTACATAAGAAGTGACATTGATCATCTGAATGTGCTAAAGCATATTTTAATAACTATTTAGCTGCCTGATTTCATGCACTTATACTGAGTCCTTCAGAGGACTCAGAGCTAGTAACAACAAGCTGGCATCTTATATCAGTTTGTATCTTATCTAGATTAAATGTATGCAGTTAAGGTGAGCTAGTCATTCGGCAGCTGTGTGCACCAATAGCTGTGCTTCAAGTGAGGCAAACTGCTCTTCCTCCTCTGCATGGTTCCTTTTAGCTGTCAGGGTGGAGGAGCAGAGAGATGCATACTTGCACAGTGAAGTCCTCCAGTGCATAACTAGGCACTTTTATGACATAAAAGGTGTTAAAGGCTGAGTTAACTCATTTTTCTCTTTTGATGCTAGGATAACATTTCTTTATTCTGCCTCTGCATGAGTCTTTCTCAGCCCAGAATGTTGCTTAGCTTTTTGGGCGCTGAGATAGCAGCCTGCTTCTATAGTGATTGATACGGACTTCTGAAAAATGGTTGATTCCTGGTTCCTGATGCTGACTACCCGTAAGATGGATGAATGTTATGGATAAATTTTGGAGAATGGTGTTTCCAACCTGCAATGGGGCTACCTGCACAGTTGCTCCATTTCCCTTTAAAAGCCAAAAATGTGTTAACTGTCTATACGCTATACTGTCGTCTTTGATATTTCTGGCCTTAACATATTAAGAGAATTCATGATTCTCAACTGAAGATTCCCATTAGTATAACCATATTTTGAGAAGATCTCTTTCCAAGTGACATTTGAAGAGTGCAGGAGAGAAATGTTTGGGTTAGGGAGTGTGTTTATCATTTACAGTGATGACATGGAGTTTTAGAGATGGTGGTGGAGTATACTTAACAAAATCTGAAGGCAAAATGCCACTGTTGACCAAAGCACTTTTATCTTAGTTTATTGAGCATTAAGTGTGTTTCTGTGGCCTGTTATGTCCTGAACTCTGTTTATAAAACTTTGTGCTGATATCTTCCATGTTGAGTGGACAGCTATCCAAATAGACAGATTTCTTGGTGATTCAAACAGCTGGAAAATATTTTGACAAAAGATACAGACATAATCTGAGAGGAGCTGTAAAGAACTGAGGAAGACCACTTGTGCTATCATCATTGCAGCACAGTGTGATTTTTCTGCTTCATCAATTGCCAATGCATGCTCAGTTTGTGATGTTATATAGCGTGCTCAGCTGGGTTGTGCCACTTTTTCTTTTTTTTTTGTAAACTCCAGTATGGCTGTTAGTAACCAATAAGGAAGAATTTGCAAGATGAATTTTATGAATTGCTTTGGTAAGAGTTGATTTATTTAGCAAGGCATATCACCTTGGGAACTGAGGTGCCATTTCGTTGGCTTGCATGTAGTTTACAGCCGCAGTTGCTTTACACTGAATTTCATTAAGCCACTCGAGAGGCAGGTTGTGGGAGCCACGCTTTTGAGGACTTTTTCTGGGGCATTGCCACTGTTATTGTCAGACCTCTATAGGACTGATTAAAGCTCAAATATATTATCCGCAGTTTTGGAAAGGTGTTCTGCGAATCTTTCTAAAGAAGTTCTCTCTTTCTACAATCTGTTTGCCAGGCAATGAATCTTTATAGGTCTGTTTGCAGTAACCGTACTAATCCTTTGAATGCTGTGAGTTTTCTTACAGTTGTGATGCCATCCACTTTTTCTTTTCCCTTAGCAGCTGCCTTATGCTCAGATTCCTAGCTACACTGACTGGCCCTTTGGCCCCTTTACATGTCTGAAGGGAAAACAATCTTCTTTTTATTTTATTTATTGTTATTAGGAAACCCCTCACATTTCAGCTTCATTTTAGAACTATAGATTGCAGATTTTCATTGTTGGTATGTGATCCTTTCTCATTTTAAAGCTTGGCTGTCTGAAAATGGCAGTTTTTTCATATCCTGTTATTTTCCCTACTGCTTTTTTGTTTGTTTGTTTGCTTGTTTTAATAGCAGAGCAATCCTAGCCTTCATAGCATTTTTTTGTTCGTTTGTTTTGTGCTCAGCCTATTAAAGGTAAAAATGTTTTGGAAAGCCCGGAGTTAAAAAAAAGAAAAACAAAAAGGCTTTTCATGATTGTGTTATGATTTGCCTTGATTTATATGCTACATGTTGCTTAGCTAAATTATTGAAGGGCCTAGTAAATTATAGAGAGTGCACCTACAGAATTTGTCATGCCAACTAATGGAAGTGACTGATTAGGAATTCTGTTGCCTGGCAAACTTGCAGAGATCATCCTCAAATAATAGAGGGGCACATAGAAGCTGATGTAGGAAATGTTGTTTGAGGTTTTTTTTTTATTCCAAATCCTGCAATATGAGAACTGGCGGACACTTAATTAAAACCAGTAGGTGATCAGTTCAAAACAGATAAAACAAAATGCTTCTTTATACGACAGGCAGTTAGCTTCTGGAGCTTCTTGCCACAGGGGTTTGAGAAGGCAGGTGTCACTCTCCAAGTTGGTGAATTAATGGAGAATGATTCCATAAATGGATTTGGGACAACTTTCTAGCTTCTCAGTAGGTTGTCTGCATGTTCTAGACACTTTTCTAATATTCCTAATTACAGCAGTTTGGGATTTTGTGGAAGTAGAAGGCTATGACCAGGATCCTGAGGTCTCCCTAGGCAGCATCTGCTATTCCTACTGATAAAAATGAAGTACTGAGCTAGAGGGACCATTAGGGCATTTCTTACATTCCTACAAATGACTTTTAGAAGCGTGGGTATTGCAAGAGCAGAGTGGTTTTCATTGCAGTTCCAGAAAGGCATTCATAAATTAGTTTCCACAACAGAAATATTGTA